AAACTGGATGGCCCACATGCAGTTCTGGTCTTTGACAACAAGCTGTGTATGTAATCTGTGCCAAGCAAGGAGGTAAGGGACTTGGAGATGTGTGTGATATAATGATGTTTATATTGGTGTAGACAAAGATTTGTTTAAATCAAAGTTATTATCTCAGGCCTGAGTGTTAGTCCATCATCAAGAGCTCCTTGGGAATCCTGAGGCCCATATTACCACCCCCTCTCACTGTCTTCCCTTCCCCCATTTTTCAGAAGCCAGAGGATGCCTGCTGCATCTTGCACTGTAGTGCAAACAGATCCCCGCAAAGGGAGAGGAAGATAAAATGAATTTAAATTCCAAAGGGGTTCCAGTGCCGGTTTCCTAGTCCCCGAGTCAGCAATGTGTTTGTGAAAATTCAGCCTTTTTGTCTCCCAGTAAAAAGGAGCTAAATCTACATCGGTGGCCCAGTCTCGGGTTGCTATTCTTTGCATTTTCTATTCGAGTGAATGAGAGTGAATGAAGTGGCCGAGACCCTTCATTTGATCTACTCAATTGCATAAAGTGACAGAATTCTAATATATTTGTTTAATGCTCTTCAATGGGCTTTCACTTTTTTGCTTGCAAATGAAGCATCTGTGGGCAAAGTTTCGTCCCCCTTTAACACCGGGGCATATTTCATAACTCAGGCCGTGGTTTGAAGTGATCTTGAGAGGAGTTTTAGACTCGAAAAGTGGAAAATAAAGAAACAGATGTGAAGTTATTGTAAATTCCTAGAGTGGGCTGTGGGGCTATTGTGCCCCCACGGCGGGCGGTCCAGGGGCTGTGCCTTTCATGCTGTAATTGAAACATATTAATTAGATAATTTGTTGTTAGTTTAAAAGAAACAAATGCATCCCCTTTGAGGCTTCACAGCCGGTGGGTTGGGTTGTTTTTGGTTTTTTTGGTTTTTTTGTTTGGGTGTCTCTGTGCATATGTGGCGTTAGGGAAAAAATTAATTGGCATTTATATTAAGAGTTTGAGGAAAGATCCAGAAAACCCTTTTCATTTCTTAAATGGATACTTCTTACAAAAGGAGTTTCTATTTGTAAAAATAAAAACCACTCCTCACCTCCCCACCATGCATAAACTAATGGAAAACCTTCTCTTTGCAGCACTTCATTAGATTCCTCCTCCTTCCCACCCCCCAGACTTCACCCCTGTTGAGCACCTGGCCAGATTTTCACTTCCAAGACACTCAGTATTCTTGTCTCTGTTAAAGGCACTGAACTGGCTGCTCTAAAATTGCAGCCATTCTGAGGGTCATTTATTGGCACCTCTTCTGCTTGTCTTACACTTTTCAAGCCCCCAATCCAATAGGAGTAATGAAAACTCCTATAGCTTCTTTCTTGAGAAAGCGCACAGAATTCATCCCTTGTGTAATAAGCATTTCCCCAAATCACAGAGAAAGCCATTTAAAAACAGTTGAGTGCAGAGTCATGTTAAAAACCAAAAGTAACAGAATAGCCATGTTTCCAAAATCAAACACCTGAATTTTAAAAATCCTACCCAAATTTACAAAATAAAATAGTATAACTTAACTTGATTCTCAAAATTAGACCCTGAGCATACACCTCACTGTATCGTGGTATCTCTTCCAGTTTTATTTTAAAGCTGTGTGTATTGACTTTGGACTTGAGCCAGGTGAAAAGATTTAACATGACAAAGAGAGCCATTGAAGGTATCATAGTTATAAACTTCCTTATTTGTGGGGCACTTCAGCTCTAAACAAGGGTATAAATCTCAAAGCTAGAGATAAAGTGGGGTGGAGGCATGCACGTTCGTTTGGGCTGCCTTTGGATTTCTGATCAAGGTCAAAATATCATCTTGGAATTTTTACTTTACTCATTCAACTTCGTCTGAGAAGAGATGCCTGCAGTTGTGAAAGGAGGGCACACAATGCCCAAGTTATTTCTTTCTTTGCAATACACCATGACGAACTTACCAGCTGAAAAGGACATTTTCAAATACTGAGTTGAAATCACTCCTTTGCTAAACATCAGAAATAGGATCTGCATCTTCTTTACTGCCATTTATTAAATGTATGTGTGTACATATCGCTTAACTCTGAGCTCTACTGGCTATTCTAGGAAGAATATTTTACCTAACTATCTAACTGATAATTTATAAAACATTTGAGTCTTATGTTTAGGTGGCTTCTTTATTCCCATTTTTAATTCATTGTTAGTAAAATCAATGAGATTAGAATATCTCAGAGATGGCTTTCATTTTATTTTGCAGGAAATGATGAAAATGTATTTATTTTTTAAAATGCAGATGAATTCTTGTTGAGAACAAAGTTTTAAGAATCTCCTAGCCCAGGATGGATAAGTTCTACAGGCTTTCTTTGGCCAATCTTGTTGATATAATTGTGAATTGGGCTTGATGAATGAGTTTGGTTGTCCCCTGTCTGACGAGCTTTAGTAGCTTCATGCATTTTAATCAGTCCAATGATTCATTTATTTTCCACTTTTTTTTTTTTGGCTGTGTGTGGGATCCTTCCTTTTAAAAAATTGGTCACAACAGGATTAATTATCCTTTGCATTAATCCTAAATTCTTTTTTCAGATAACCCTCTAAATATGTGAGGGTCACAGGTGCTAAGGATTCTCCTTATGGAGTATGGTGACCATTTCTATGTGGGTTTCCCTGTGTTTCACAGAGTCTCTTGTTTAATCATTTTACACAGCAAAGTGTTAATCACCACTTAAGTTTTTCTTTGTCTTGCAACTTTATTAGTTGAATACAGCCCTCACTCTGGAAATATTATGAGCCCTTCAATAAAGTTTCAATTGGCCTCAAGCTATAGATTCTTGGCAAATTTTAATTTTCTGCAAATATCTGAAGAAAAGCAAATACTTAAAGAGTGCAACATTTTAAGTAACTTCATTCACTTCTTAAAATAAATGCATCAAGCATTATTTTCTCACATGAAGGAGTAAAAAGAAATCTGTTCAGTTCAAAGTGAACAGGTTTCAACATGCAAGGTAGACTTTTAGGCTACTTTTGAAAAAGAAAATTTCAACAACTGCAAAAATTTAAACGAACAAGGAAATGCATACTCCAAATAAGATGCATCGGAATATAAGCATTGTGTAAGCAAGTCTACTTTTACTCTTTGTATCTGCATATCACCTCTACCTGATGTCTATGCAAGCCTAACATTTATGTAAGTGCTGGATATGTTTTGTAAAATGTACATTTTAAGATAGACAGAAATACTTATGAAGTACTCTATTTTTTTAAAAGTTTTTCTTTCAGCACTACACCTGTGCACCTGATCTTTGCTAGAAACAATCTGTATATTCCCAATGCACTATATCTTCAAGAGTCCATCTGAATAATTTTTCTGCCAATCTGTAAGTGCAGGAGAGAAGGTCTGACCGTGTTAAAAATGAGGTATGAACAAAGACGAACTACTCAGACAGTGCACGGTGAAAAGCACACTCAGAGAAGCACTACATCTGTCTTTTGTAAAGTGGTTGTTTGCAAAAACTCTGCAAAGACACAAAACATGTTGAATTTACATATTTTAATGAGAAAATATTATTTGGACTAGCTTCATAATTTAATGTAGACACCTTTTTAAAATTCTTTGTCTTAAAACAGGCATGCTGGGAACAAGAACATCAATATTTAAAATGTCATGCTAATTCTATACTGGAGAGAACAAAATGAAAGGTAAAAATTTTACAGCTTTGATGACACTACAACTTTTTTTTTAACGTAAGCAGGTCGCACCAGAACAACAGTTCGTTTCTCAGCAAATTACCTAAGACTCTAAAGGAATATAGCAAACAAAAGTGCATTTTACACAGTGTATAATCATTCCTATTCACAAGCATTTACACCTCTTTGCAGCCCTTAGCTTCTTGGGAAGATTCTTGTAGCAAACGGAAGGACTTGTCCCTGGGAGACCTATCCGGCGACATTTCCTTCAAGTTACCAGTCAGCTCATCTAAATTCTTCTAGGGTTGCCCGTGATGCTTTCTTAGTTTGAGTTTATTTTATCTTCTCCCCGCCCTCTCCCAACAATAAAATAAATAGCTAAAAAGGTCTCTAAGTAATCGGAAAGTTGACATCCCAATTACTTTCCCCCTTCCCCCCTTCCCTCCCCTCAACCTGGCCAGAAATGAAGAGTAAACATTCACATTACAACAGGTACTTGTAAAGTGGGCTTTGCCCGCTCACCCGCCAAGCAATAACAGATTCAAGTTCACTGTTTACATTTTACCGGGCGCTTTGTAAACAATACAAGGTTACTTTTAGTTTTGTTCTGCTGGTGTTGAGGACAAGCGTCCCCTTCCCAGCTCGGCAGCCTGTTCCCTAGCCCCCGGCGCCTTGAGCCTCAGGCAGGACACAAAACCCAAAACAAAAAATTCTGCGGTAGCCGGGGAGGCAGGCCCGCTACTACGGGAAGCTGCGGTCCGCCCAGCCCCTGCCAGATGGGCGGAGGCGAGCGGGGTAGGAAGATTAGTGGTCTCTTTTCGAAGCAGATTCCCAGGACTTGAACAGAGATCCAGCTCTCTGCTGCGATACTGCAGCCCTCCGGGGAGATCTGTTCGAGGAAATCTCTGAGACTGTTTCTCTGGTCTCGGAACCGCGCGGAGGCCGGAGCTCCGCCAGTGCGGGTGGAGGGAAGACGGCCCTACTCTCCGCCAAGGCCGGAGGCAGGATTTCCCCTGCCTCTTAAGTGGGAGGGTTTTCGGGAACCCCTGGAACGGGTCAGCTAGGCTCAGGTGCCCCCCTGCCTTCCCCTCTAGCGGGGGAGAAGACAACTCCCACGCGCCTCCAGGCCCAGCTGCAAGTTTGTGTTTTGTCTCCTGGGTCCAAAACAAAGTTCTCAGGGGGAGCGAGACGGTCGGCCGAAGGTGAAATTGACACGTTAGGGTGGCGGTCGCAGGTCAAGGGGGGCAGGACTGGGAGCCGGGGAAGGCGAGTGAGCTAGCGCGGAGAGGAACTAGAGGGGGCGCCGGCCGCTTCGGGTCAGTGCACCGCCACGGAGTGCAAGGCGGAGGCCGGGCTGGTGAGCGTTTCGCTGGGAGTGGCGGGGCTGCTTTGGCTGGTGGCTGTTTGCGAGGATGTGGGGCTGAGCGAGGGGGGTGAGTTCGAGAGCAAGGTGGGGATGGGCGCGGGCAGGGCGGGCAGCGCAGGCACTGCGGCCGGCGTGGGTTTGATGGGCACCGGGATGGCGGGCAGCGTCTGGCCCGCTGCGTGGCACAGCGGCTTCAACGGCACGCCGTAGGCGCTGTAATCGCCACTGGCCATGGAGATGGGGGTGGCCGAATCGATCATGCCTGCGGAACCGTACACATGTGGCCAGCCAGTGCCCAGCGAGCTGCCCATGGTAGTCAACTGGTTGGGGAGAGGGTAGGCGGCGGGCATGGGCTGCATGGCGGAGAAGGCCAGCCCCCCAGGCATCTTGTATTCACGCGCGATGATGTTCTCGATGGCGAAGGGGTGCTTGAAGCCCGAGGGCTGCGCCACGCCGCCTAGGTTGTAGGCGGCAGCCGGCATCTGCGGCAGGTGCGTGCCGGAGGCAGCCAGTGCGCTCAGGCGCAGCTTGGCCTGCTGCTGCAAGTACTGCGCAGCGTCCGCCGGCTTGCTAGGCGCCAGGTGGTCCGACTTGAGCACCTTGAAGCGCTTGCGGCGCCTCAGGAAGCTGCCGTTCTCGAACATGTCCCCGCAGCTAGGGTGCAGCGCCCAGAAGCTGCCTTTGCCCGGCTGGTCTGGACGCCGCGGGATCTTGATGAAGCAGTCGTTGAAGGAGAGGTTGTGGCGCAGGCTGTTCTGCCAGCGCTGTGTGTTCTCCCGGTAGTAAGGGAATCGGTCCATGATGAACTTGTAGATCTCGCTCAGCGGCAGCATCTTCTCGGGCGAGCTCTGGATGGCCATGGCGGTCAGCGAGATGTACGAGTAGGGCGGCTTCTGGTCGCTATACGTGTTGCGGCCGGGCCGAGGCATCTTCTTGTTTACCCCCTTCTTGCTCTGGGTCCGCGCGGGCGGGCGGCTGCTCCGATCTGAGAAGGGGCGAAGATAAGGGGAGAGGGCATGGGTGCACAAACAGACACCATGAGGTCAGCCAGGCCGAGTACAGACTTCGCGTGTGTAGGGCAGGGGCTGCAGCACCAGCAACTTCGTGCCGAGTGGGGCTCGGCCAGAGGGGCAAGTGGAGCGGGGACTCGGGCTGGGATGCAACCGAGAGCGGCTCACCTTAAAGTTGCTCCAAGTTGAGCGTGCGCATCCGGGATGGCGCTGCTGCTCGCCGCCTCCCTCCCAGTCCACAGCCACGGCGCAGTGTCCCGTCTCTGCTGGGCTCCGCGAGTCTGAGCTCCTCAGCTCAGCGTCGCCGCGCTTTCTGGTGGGCGCTCCGCGGGCGGCCGAGCTCAGCTGCGGAGTCCCAGCGCGGAAGGTGGTGGCGGCCGCCTCGGGGCTCCGGAGGGCGCTGCTGTGGGCTCCGCAGCAACGCTGAGCTAGGTGGCTGCCTCCATGTCCTCCCTCGAACCATCTGATAGTTTTAAGCGGTGACAGGAGCAGAAAAGACCCCTGTAGCGGCGCTTCATTAATGTGCCACTTCTTAGCTATCATATGACAATCGCCTTGGGAGGAGGAGGAAGAGGAGGGGGAGGGGGCTGTTGGCGGGAGGGGACTGTGCGAGAGGGGAGAGCCTGGCCAGCTCCGGTTTCTTTCACACCTATTTACATGGATACCTTGGCCAATAGGAATCACTTCCAGCTCAAGACTGGGCGAGGGGGAAGAGCCTCAACCACCGTCAGGGAGCAGGACGCACCGGCCAGGGTGTGCGGTTGTGAAGGTATGAGGAGGCTGCGGCGGTGGAGCAGGGATTCAGGCGACCACTCCCGTTCACAGACCGAGCTGCCGTGCAGATGATGTTTGACATGGAAATTGCTTGGCTGGGGTATTCTGTTTGCTCCGCATTGTATCGGGTTTGTATTGTTAGCTAACTTCAGGCACGGCTTTCCTCTGAGGCTGACCCTTTTCCTGCGCTTGGCATTACCCAGGGCTGGTTGCATGGGTTATTATAATAAAAATACACCCTTCCCCCAGTCCTCCAAGAAGCAGGTCAAAGTTTGATTTGACCTTCCTAGGCTGCTGCCTTCGCTCTGCACAGTGGGTGTGTAGCTTTAAGTGTGGGTTTTTTTTTTTTTTAATACCTACAAAAATATAGTCCGGCAGCCCCGTAAGAGTACATTTTGAACTTAACTGTATTGACCAATTTTTAAAAAAAATTAAAATAGTGTACCTGGGCGCAATGGCTAAGTCTTCACTGGAGAAGTTCTCTAGGAATTTGATTAGACACAAGACGAAGACTCTGGGGCTGTTGGGTCAGATGGTGTGCAGACTTTGGGAGGCCCCAGCTTGTTTGACACTCTTGGTCACCAGATGAACTGCAGGGTCTCTTGCTTTCCCTAGGTGGCTTGAAATTTTAGTAGCTGGGCATTGCCTGGACGTTTGCATTTTACAGCGGGAACTTTTTCCACTTCCCCCACCCTCTTTTCGAATAAAGAGAACATATTTAGCATTTAGGGAGCCCAGCAAAAGCTGCCTTCTGCCGACTGAAACAGGAATACCTTCTAGACTTGCAAAGACCAGTGAGTTTAACTTTTTTTTTGAGAGAGAGAAGAGGTTGTGTTGTGCCTCGGAGTCCCCCTGCCTGGTGCGGGGCAACAGTCTCCGTTCCGTTCGGATTTGTCTGAGGAGGTTCAGTGAGTCATCATCATCATCATCATTGTCATCGTCGTTGTCGTCATCGTCATCATCATCAGGGTGCTGTGAAATAGTGAGTCCCCCCCACTTGCATGCAGGCAGTCTAAGAGCAGACTCGAGGAGTTCCTGCTGGCTTCTGTACATTCTTCGACCTTTAGGACAAATTTCTTGTGCAGTGCTGTTGAAAACTCAGTACTTACAGCCCACACTGAATAATCTTCAGCTGGGAAATGTGAGGTGCTGGTGGTGGTGGGTGTGGTGGGAGAGTTTCGGTGTGAAGTTTTGATACTTTTAAGTGATATTGGAGCATTATCAGTGGAGCCATTTGTGGTTAGCATTAAAAAGAAAATCTTCCAGTGCCAGCGCCCACACCCACACCCCCACCTCCATTAACCGCAGTTTCAGAGTTGGCCAATAACTCACCAAAACGTAACTTAAACACGATGAATTTAGGAGATTAAACAATTTCATTAATATTGAAATGGCTCTCCTGTCTGGGCTGCCTCGCTTGAGATGCACGCTCACGTTTTTCAATATTAACAGAAGTGCTTGAAGAAAAAGAATAATGTCACCTTCTTAATTTGGAAAAAAATAGCCAGGAGGAGGCGGTGGGTGCAACGGGGTTGGGGAGGGGGGCTGACCTGTTTCTGGGGGCAAGGCTGGTGAAGGGCAGATAAACCCTCTGCTGCTACGCCAGCCAGACCGTCCTGGAATCTTTGCGGGTGCTTTGGCTGGGGCAGCCGTACTCCGCAGGGCTGCGTAGGCTTCAGCTCTGTAGGTGGTGCGGCGTTTGGGGGTTACTTCGTGCTGTCCGGTTGGGCTTGAGGGTCCTAGAATGGGAGGAATTGGGGAACCCTGGAGCCTGACAGACCCCTGATGAAGAACAATAACGAGGGCTTGTGTTTCCCAGGAGAAAGGCGTTGGTCCACAGCTTTCCTGCTGCGGAAAGCTGGTTTCAGAGTTACAAAAACAGAGGGTGCTCCTGCGGGCCAGGCAGGAGTGATCCTGGAAGGGGAGGCACCAGTATCAAAGTCCCCAAGGAATTTTAGGATCCTCTAAGCAAATATGTGGTACTGATAGAATGTAGAAAAAATATTGATCGGCTGGATTCAGGATATGGAGCGGTAGCAGTGAAAGATCTCTGCTCCCCCAGTGACAGCCAGGAAGATTTTCTCTACCAGGGGCGTGTGTGTGTGTGTGTGTGTGTGTGTGTGTGTGTGTACACACTCCTGCCTCCACCTCTCTTTGAGGGTGGGGGATGGGGAAAGAGAAATGTTTTCTTGTTTTAACAATTGGCATTTTGTTGCCTTGAAAAGGGCCTTTGTATGGCTGTCGAAATCACTGCTTGGAGTAAATAGAAGATTAACTAAATTCTAAGAGTGGAAACAGTTGGGGGAAAAAAAAAACCCAGCCAGGTTGTAATAAATCCTTGTCCATCTCCCCGGGAAAGTTGTCGCCACCAAGTTTGGGACATGTGAAGATACAAGAAGGAATTCGTACCTGAGGGAATCTTCAAAGTGTGGCTAGAGTGAGGATGAGAGGTGAAGCCCATTGCCTCTGCCCAGCATTAATTAAGGAAATCAAACCTAATAGCACAGATTTGCTTTGGGTAGGGTGAGGAGTTATGAGATTCACACTTAAAACGTGTGCTTTGCCACAACATTGTGTCTTGGTTCCTACTGAAGATCTACAAAGCCCCTGGGAAGGGGGAGGAGGGTTTGCATGGTATTTACGGCATTTTAAGACTACTATTATGAAGAAGGGGGAGGGGAAGGAGCACTTTACAGAAATCTTGAAAAGTGCATCAAAGTCTATTGTACAGAACCCAAAACAAACAGAAGCTTTGGGGAGGGGGCACATCCGACCCGGAGGCTTAGGGAGTTGTTGGGAAAACTGTATAAAACACACATAAGTCAATTGTATCCATGTGCAAACCAAATGGAAATCTCTTTCCCGCAATAGCCATTCATCGCCTCCGTGGAGCCCACCACCGACCACCTTTCTGCTTGGAGAGTTCGCAATAGCCTCTTTTCCCACAAGCTGGACCACACACGGCTACAGATTTTGTAATAATTTATGCTAATTTCCCTCCATAAATCCACAATTCGCTTCAGTGGCACCCGGGCTGCAGAGGGAGTAAAAAGGAGACAGAGAGGTGACAAATACAATATTGATTTTGATTCCTTCTGTTGTCAAGCAGGTGTGTGTGTGTATGCGCGCGAGAACGGTGGGGCCGGTGTTTGGGGGCGGGGGCTCTGGAAGAGGCAAGCCACCGGAGCCTGGCCACCGGGCTTTCTGTCCACACTCCAGAAAGTAACGAGCCCTGGTTTGTTAATATTTACCAAACGCCGACAAGCAGGGTGGAGGGAAAGTATCCAGGAGCTTCCTAAGGTTTCCTAGGTGCCAAAAACAATACCCACTTTCCCCTCTTGAAAAGTGAACTTTGCGCTGCCTGGAACGTTTTGGCTAAGTCTTCCTTTGCCCCCTTCTCCTCCTTTCTCCCTCACATCCTTCCCTCTCTCTCCTGGAATCTCTCCCCAATCCCCAACCCCATCCCCAGGATGAGCCTCTGCCCTCTTCCCTCTTCCTTTCCCCTTTTCTACTACACCCTTGTGCCTCGTTTCTCTCCCATTCACTACCCTCCCCCCCACTTCACTTTTTCCATCTGCTCTACTGAACGGGCTGTGAAGTGTGCTAGGAAGGTGGAGGGGGAAGAAAGTTGAAGGCTGGCATGGCATGGATTCCAGGTTTTAGGGCCTCCTCCAGCCCGCCCCACCTTTCTAGGCCACCTCCCGCATTTGTCCAAGTTCTCCACTGTCTCTGGGAACCGCGCTAATGCACTAGAGCTGCTTTGTCCCATCAGTCATTCTTTGCCAGATCTGCATTTGGGTGGTGTGAAATGACTTAGCTTTCCTTTCAAAAGGATTTTGTTCTCCGGGTATTCGGCACTAAAACAAACTCCCTCAGTCTGTCAGCGGTCAATTAAAAAAAAATGTCATTCTGAGTATTCTAGAGGCTGTTGGTCCTCAGACCCTATCCACCTCCACCACCAGCACACCCTCAGGGCACAGCCTGTCTCTACCGTCCTGGATCTGGGAAGCAGAGGGAACCTGCTCAGTGAGTTCTGTTTGTTGTGGCAAGAGGACCCAATGGTCTTTCAGTCTTTCGAGTTCATGGGCCTCGGAGACAACAGGCACCCAGTTGGGCACTGCATGAGGGAAAACTTCAGGGCTGTG